TTTCTTAGTTCTCCATAGGTCGTATATACATCATCATATTCGAGTTTGAAGTCTCGTTTTGCATCGAAGATATATTTTTGTGTGATAGAAATGCTACATTAAATGAGGTGACAAAATAGCTAGATTTCGCCCAGTGAATTAGATGGGACTTGTAGCCCAGAAGTGAGTTCCTGCTCAGAAAAGTTCGCAATTTTAGCAATCCTCATCTCGATTCTAAGTGAGGATCTCCATGGATTTAGAGGCAGACATCTGAACAGCATAACCTGAATGGAAAGTACTTTAAGATAAGAGCTAAAGTGGAATGCATTTGTGAAGTAAACTCAACCCATAGCTTTCGAGGTGGGCGCAACTGGTTCTTTTATCTGCCGGAGAGCATACGGCTCCATTAAACTGTAAGAAGTCTAGAACACTTTCGCTACTCCGCCAGCAAAAAAGTAATTATTTAAATAGCAAAATATAGGGCTTCTAATTAAGCTAAATAGATTGCGAACGGCCGATATGACCTGAGGTAATGGCTACTATGAGTAAGCCAATCAATTAGCGATAATAGATTGTGAAGTACAATTGAGGTTAGCATTTTATCAAGAGCCAAAGTATATCTTCTGCTTTATCTATGAAATGCTATTCATAGCAAGACGATGCTTTCCTCTCTCTCTCTTTGTCTCTGTCTCTGTCTCTCCCTCTCTACACAAGTAATATACATACATCTGCGAAACAAAACATCGATTCCAACTAATTTTTAATCTCAGAAATCAGGTCACCTTTACCTCTTCACTAGGGTTTGGTTGTTTGCATGCCTTTAAAGTGAATGAGGACACTTTTCCCACCACGAATGACTGCTGATTAGACTCGATTCCAATGCCTACAATATCCCTCTGGCTAGATTGGGCTAGAAGTCAGTATATAAAGTAGCCTTCAATCCGGTGAAGGGCATATGCTCATCTTGTTTCAATCTATTTGGCTAAATATATTAATGTTAAGTAAAAGTTCGATAATAACAATTGGGAAATGTGTGAATTGAGAGCTTAAAATATTGAGTGGGGCCAAGGCAGAAGGGGTTTTTAGGCAATAGAGGTAGAGCGGGCTGAAGGGTATGAGGAAGCACTGTTCCGTGTGCTAAGCGTTAATTATGCTTCTTTAGTATTACAGGTCACTGGGGGATCGAGGCTTAGCGGAGCAGTAGACAGGTGGAGTTGGAATAGAGTTGATAAATTACTATTGCAACTGTAACCGACAGGCTAGGCCTGCATATCTACAAGCCTGGTTTGCAAGCTTGTCGCGAATTAACGGTTTCTTCTGTGGTTAACTGCCGATGTGTGTACAGACTCAATCTCCAGAGTAATATTCATACTCAGGCCCACCTTCACCTGGCTGTGATTGCAATTAAAATCTCAATGCAGTTCCATTCAATGGACATTATTTTACAAAACTCAGTCAATGAAAACCACTGGATTTAGATGGATGGATGCTTTTATGCTTAAGGAATAGAAATTAAACCTGCCCAAATGAATGATTTGATGTATAGCAATGACAAGTCAACCGTGAAATAGTGTAAAAATTAATTTGTAAAAGTAGGCCGACCTAAATTACGACATTAGAGCCGAAAGCTATTCAACAAACAGTAGACAATGAATAGGATTTTAAATTATCAAATTTTGATAATGCAATCCGCTTGAGTTCCGCTCGAGGGCTTAAACTACGACCACGGGTAAACAGCAAATTAACTTCAGGAAGAAGCATTTAGTGTCCGATGATATCAACAAAGTGGGAAATTAAAACAAATAAAAATAACAATTAACCAAGCCAAATATCAAGAATGAACCCCATCCACTAGACTGCTGAATTTCCCCACACCGGTTCGCTTTGACGTTCCACATTAGCTGCCCACGATGGATCGGTAGACAGGCTTAGCTGAGTCATTTAGCTTTACCATACGTCGTAGCGACGGCAATTGTGTCCCCAACATGCTATAATCAACACTTCCGATGGCAACTGAAATAAAGCGGCTTACTGCTCCTTGAGCAAAAATTCCGGCAAGGTAACAACGGCTACTCTAAACGCAGGTCGGAGTTATATGTTTTTGTGTTATGCTTGGCTCATCTTCTTAATTCAATAGACAACTGACTCACGGACGGGAGATAACCGAGTTTTTCCGACCCTGCTACAGCCTGAGGCTTGACAGTCATATAAGTGTGAGAAACAAGATTCTGGACATCTTGATCAAATGTCTGCAATTGTCCTATTTCACACCCTCTTTATTTTGGGAAAGTTTGGATACTTAACCTCCGCTTTTATGACCCCTTCCTAATGCCCAATCGGAGACAGGGCTCTGCTCAGCGCAATGAGTTGTACAGCCAGAGTGCTTCAACAAGTTTCGGCTATCAATACCCAACCCATTTTAGCAGATCCTGAAATTGATCATGTACCAAATCGAAAGACAGAATGAGCCTTTGCTATGAGTTGGGAAGATATTAATGAGTCGCATATTTCATTAGTAGTGCTATAATAAGTATACATAATCGGTATTAGTCAAATAAAAGCGTCTATACTTTGAATTCCTGAATAATCTGGCAGCCTGGATAGAGAAGATCTCGCAGGTAGGTCTAGCATTACATTCGATTTGCATCACCATAAGGCGAAGTAAATGACTAAACCGGACATTCCTTGATTATGATTTTGCTTAAACCGATGGAAGCAAGTGTAATAACTGATGAAAATGACAATTTCTGCAGCCCCTTAACAAACTGTGAGCCTTGTACGTCAGGCGAAGGAGTGTGCCATTTGCGGAAACTTAAACGTTTGCATCGTAGATATGAAGACCAAAATGTTGTGGCATTTGCTTAGTCGTAATCTTCTTTAGCTTTATAGTGCCAATTCGACCTCGCTTTCAGAGAAATAGTTTGGAACGTACCTAGTCCTGTATATTCTGTTATAGTATTCGTGAGGTTACCAAGGCAAGGGTCCGATGCTGGACATCATGAATACTGTGGCAGAGGACACAAGTCTCCCTGACGCTCTAACCAAGTTGCGAAAACGAGGTCGAGCCAACACGTAAATGATTGTATTATGTTGCGACACTACCAATTGATGTTGAATAGGAACAGCATTCCCCATAGAAAGGATAACCAAATTCTCCCCAAAATGATATGTGAAGGCGTCACGACGCTAATGAATGCCATTCTACCTTGTCTCCAAAAAGGCATTTTTATTCAGCTGCGGTCAGTTCTTTATCACCTTATTTTACATATGATTAGTAAAATTCTTAATTATATGCTTGTACTATGTCTGAGTGACGGTCAAGGGTAAATTCGCTTTGGAGGTAGGGATCAGATAGTGCGACCATGAGCAGCCTTGATCTCTTTGTGTCGTAGAATGAATCGCTTGCACAAGAATAACCTGTTAATCCTGTACCACAAGAACAATAATAATCTAATGAACCAATGACCCAAAGCATCTATGAAAATTTAACTAATACCTTACCAGATCTTTAAATTGGATACCAGCTTGAGCAAGAGGAGGAAAGTAAGAGCCATCTAACTGCAGCATCTGTACATTCCGCAAGGTGACTCTTTTGTAGCGAAAGTTGCTAAAAAGTGGTCAATCAAGCAGTGGTATTTATTTGTTTGACTTTTCTGGAGTGTCTGCTACTGAAAGACCTTAGACGGACACAGTTTAATACTTTTTCCACTAGCGTTTACTCCAGACAAGATATAGAAGATGTAGAAAGAGCATAAAGAACATATGACAGTGAGTATTGACTGTATTCATTCTATTTAGTTTAGTCTTTGCGCAACCATATCCTCATCCTTTCAGTGAATTGCTCATAGCTTTGTTTTCCAGAAGGCATTCTCCTCCCAGCCTTAGTGGACTCCAGTTTCAACCTGACCTGGGCCTCATCAGTAGTCCCGGCGGGACTCGAACCTGGTTCTGCTGCGTACTGACACAAGTGCCCTTGGGCCACAAGGCAGACATGATATGTGGAATGCCTAGCGTTGTTCGGAGCGTCCTTCCATTCTGTAATCCAGTGGCACACTTCGCAGTGTGGCGTAATGGTTAAAGTGTGGTGACTATACACTGCACTAGCAAAAGCAGATGAGACCCAGGCGAGGTGAAAACTACAGTCCACCCCTGCCTGGATGAAGATGCCCTTTGGGAGGCAGAGCTGTATGAAGTTCAGTGGTAGCGCGTGGCCTACTCACATGATTGTGCAAAAATTAAACTACCGGTCTTCCGTAAAATTAAACGAAATAAGAGGAATACTGTCGTTATTAAAAACCTATTGGTGGTCTTGAAAACCGACTTGACAACTAAAAGCACTTTACTCTTGACTAGGCTAATAGAAGCAAGTTAAAATTTGTAATGTCTCTTTGACGAGTTCGTAGCTTGGTGCGGAGAATGGCAAAGCTAACTGATGATGCCGACTACGATTCCGATGATGCGAAACGTTTGAGAATGTATCAAGTTCACTGTCAGATGCCGGGAATCATGACAACTACCATGGCAGACGACTTCGGACTAGGTGCCTTCTACATAGTCGCCATGACAACAATACCCACTTCTAAAATTTGTAATCGTGAACAGAGTAGATTTGAGGCTGTAGGGTAGTTGGATGCTCCTGAATGAAAGCTACCAAAACCAATCTCAGTAAGTTGGTCAAAGGATAGACTTCTATTTGCCACAGTGACGAGTTATGGCTTGGTAGTAAAGCTGAAAAGGCTCACTGGCGATGCCAGTAAAACTTTTGGTAATGTACCCAGTTCAAGTTCCTACGCTCGAAAATGGCATGACTACTCTATAAGAGGACAGCCTGACTGGCATGAGAACACTCCGAAGTTGAGGTAAAGTGGTGCAAAGGGTCTGCGAACAAAGTCTAGTCCACATCATTTTGGTCTTCTTACTTTCCCCTGAGGCATGCTAACTTGACTTGGATACAAAGTACCATTGGTTTCTGTATACTTCAAATAAATCTGGATAATACATTGAAAATTTAGCTCAGCTGCATGCATCTTTCAGCTCACTCAAGGCCTATTTCAAACGGCTACTTCGAGAGTCGAGTCGCCATAACCACTGGAGCGCTTAACGACTGTGTACCTGTACCAGCCCATGCAGCAAATGCCACCATGACTTTCGAACTAACTCCTGCTATCCGGCTCTCAACTTCACGCCTAGCAACGGTGGCGACCACTTTTCGAATGCTAAACTTTAAAAATGCTCTCACGTAACTAGAAGTTAGTTGAGTAAACTAGATGTACCGATTAGCTCTAGCTGCTTGACGTCGGGCCAATGGGAGCGCAAGCAATCCTAAAAGACTTAGTGCAACTCCAATGTCTATAAAGCTAAGACAGAGAATCTAGATTATCCCTCTTTTGCTCAAGCAATCAGCCCCTTCCC